CTGGAATTGGCTTCTTTTCTTTGGTGTAATACAGAAGCCTTAAAAGTCAGAGGGCTCGGATTCAGATCCTGTCTCTCCCACTTACTCCTCATGTAAGCTCGGGGAAGTCTGTGACTCCATTGTAAAATATGTGTGGGGAGGAAACTTGAGCAAGGAAATTATACTGAGAACCTTCTCAGGTTCTTTCCAGCATGTCAGGATTGATGTAGGGGGAGATTCCTCTTGAGTATGACTTGGATCAGGGAGCTCTAAGATCCCTTCTAAACTTGTTTCTATAATAAATCTGGGATCCTCTGCTCCACTTCCCCTCCATTTACCCCGATTTTCAGTCAAACTCTGATGTATTTTTCCCATAACTTGAAATGCCATCACTTGTTTCATTCATTGCCTTCACACATGAGGGCCCATCCCTCATGCCTTTTGTGAACGTCTTCCTTCCACATCCCCCCTACCAATAATCACTCACATTTACATGGGGCTTTTAGGTTTACGTACTAATCTACTCACAAAAATCCTGAGGTAGGTAGAGCAAATACAATTATCTCTGGTTTGCAGATGTGAAAACTGAGTCATAGAGGTTCAGTGACTTGCCCAACAGGACTTGAACCCAGATCTTTTGGATCTAAGTCCATTCATGCAAACTCTTTCATATTCAACTCTTTTTACTCATAGTTTTGTTTTTGTTTTTGTTTTTTTGCTTTTTGACTAGGCAGTGGGGTTAAGTGACTTGCCCAGGGTCACGCAAATAGTAAGTGTCAAGTGTCTGAGGCCAGATTTGAACTCAGGTCCTCCTGACTCCAAAGCCAGAGCTCTATACACTGCACCACCTAGCTGCCTTTACTCATAGTCTTAGCAATACCCTCCTAGAAATATTCCCAGACATCCTCAGCTCAAATCTCTCTCTTCCTTCACCAATTTCTTATGGCCTTTTGTCCAGATCCTTTTTCCCATTTTGCTGTTCAGTGGTTTTAGTTGTGTCTGACTCTTTGTGACCCTATTTGGGGTTTTCTTGGCAAAGATATTGGAGTGGTTTGTCATTTCCTTTTCCAGCTCATTTTAAATATGAAGAAACTGAGGCAAATGGGGGTAAGTGACTTGCCCAGGGTCACACAGCTAGTTAAGTATCTGAGGCCACATTTGAACTCAGGAAGTTGGGACTTCCTGACTTCAGACCCAGTGCTCTACCTACTGTGCCACCTAGCAGCCCTTTTCTCTATCTAGTGCAGAGCTCCCATTTTGGGAAAGAGCCTTCCTAGACCGACCACATCTCACCCTCCAGACTTAGCCACCAAATCCTCACCCGAGTACTTCCTCTCACTTTCATTAGAATGTAAGTTTCTTGAGGGCAAGAACTATCTTTGTCCCCAGCATTTAGCATGGTGCCTGGGACACAGTAAGTACTTGCTATATACTTGTTAACTGACTGGCTAGACCTGTGCTTCCCCCTTATTGCAAAATCATAGACACAAGTTTAGAAGGGATCTTAGAGGTCACCTGATACAACTCATACTCAAGTGGAATCTCCCCCTACATCAATCCTGACATGCAGTGATGTAGTCCTTACTAGAAGACCTCTAGTGAAAGGGAACCCACTAATTATGACTACTTCTTCTACTACTACTACTATACTATTACTACCACTACTGCTACTACTTCTACTACCACCACCATCACTACCACCACCACCACCACCACTACTACTACTACTACTACTACTACTACTTCTACTACAACCACCACCGCCCTACTACTACCACTACTACTATTACTACTTCTCCAACCATCACTACCACCACTACCACTCCTACCACCAGCTGAATGCATATTCTTGAAGGACTTAAAAACACACATACAAATCTGCACACTACTACTACTATAACTATAAAATTATTATAATAATATACAATAATGGATTATGTATTATTAGTATATTAACATACATGTAATGCATATAATGTATTATGCATGATAAACATAATTCATAATAATTATTAGTAATACTACTACTTATTAAAAATAATTCACATCCTACCACCCAGATTGTTATCAGGAAATCCCTTTGTAAACCTTAAAACATTATAAAAAGGTAAGTGACTTGTCATTACTTTTCAATCATATTTATATGTATATACATGTTTATGTATATTTGTGTGTGGATGTATATATATGTGTGTGGGTATTTATGCATATATATAAACACACTTATGTTTATGTATATATACATATACATATACACACGTATATGTGTGTGTATATGCATGGCTTAACCCCTCTATTAAGTTGTAGGTCCCTTAAAGGTGGATACCACATCTCCTTTCATCTCTTCATCCTCAGTATTGCGGACGGAACAATACGATGTGCCCTATAATTGTCAGAGTTGAACCAAAACAGAAGGTACTTCTGACAGACTTCCTAAGGAGATTTCAGACCCTTCCTCAACAACCCATTCACACATCTGCGTATCCATGAACAAAGAATAGTCTTTTATTGGTCTAACCTAAATTCCTTTGTCTTTCATCTTAAGATAATTTACTTTACCTGTTTCAGAAATGTCATGCACCCTTGGGCATTTGAGAGGAGACTCTTAAAATAGCCCAGAACAAAGAGATGCATCTGAAAATCCTGGGCAAAGTCACAGGAAAGATGAAGGATCACAGAGTATTAGTGTTGGAAGGGAGCACCTAGGCCAACACCCTCATTTTACAAATGGGAAACTGAAACTGAAAAGGAATTCTTAAATCTCAGCATGGGAAGGACTCAGAGGTCACAGGATGAAGAGTTCATCCATTTGGAACTGGAAGATTTTAGAGCTCATTTAATCCACTCCGTGCGTCGCATCTTGTTTCAGTCATTTTTCAAGTGTCTGATTCTCCATGACCCCATTTGGGGTTTTCTTGGCAAAGACACTGGAGTGGTTTGCCACTTCATTCTCCAGCTCATTTTACAGATGAGGAAACTGAGGCAGACAGGGTGAAGTGATTTGCTCAGGATCACACAGCTAGTGAGTGTCTGAGGCCAGATTTGAACTCAGGATGAGGAGTGTTCCTGACTCCAGATCCAGAGCTCTATCCACCATCCCCCATAGATGAGAAAATTGAGGTACTCAGGGGTTAAGCGACTGCTCCAGGTTAGTTAGGTAGTAATTTACAAAGGTAGGATTTGAACAGAGTTCCTGACTCCCATTGCTCATTCTACCATGCCATGCGGTGGCTGATCCACTCTGACCCACCCCTGAATGAG